AGAAATCTGAAAACAGCAGCTGCTAATAACATGCCCAATTAGACACCCTTTTAAAACAACTCAGACATCTGTAGTAGAGGCATGCATCAAATCAAAACCTGAGAAACCTGTTATGCCAGTACAAATAACCACTACATGACAAACTATGAACACCAAGGAGTACATGGAGGAGAAAACAATTACAAAGGGAAAGCAGCACACATTTAGTTTCTTCTAATCTTTCAGCTATTTAGTTGGTGAGACTCACAAGTAAAAAAAAAAAGCTTAGGTTAAAAAAACAAGAACAACTGATCTAGGAGTGTCTCCAGTTAGTAGATCTTCGGAGGATGAGTTATCTTGATATCATGCAAGCCCCTGCAGAAGCTGCTCCACCCAATTCTTGCCTAGACAACATTTAATGCTCTGGATGAGTGTGAGCTCTTCAAAAGTAAGATCAACAACATTGTTGCTGCTCTCTGGGGATGGTGGAGCCAAGGCAGAGAGCGTGGCAACAGGGTGGCACTTTCAGATTGGCTGTCTAGAGTTCAAAAAAATCAATTAACATTTAATAGGACCAATCAAGAGTTTGCAAGCTCTCCGATTCTCTAGGACTTTACAGCAGGGCTTACAATATAAAGTAGTAAAATTAATTATCAAATTATAAAAGCACCTTACAATATATCCTAAAACCGAATTCCATATCAAATATCTAACAACAACAAATACCATACTGTGTGTTCAATTAAAAGTTGTAGCAACAAAGTATGTGTTCAGAAATCCTTCTGCCAGCAGCTACAGCTACAGCCAGTGGATTAGCTCTTGAGAAGGATTCTGCATGCTATGGGTCCTCACAGAGAAGACCTGGCCCCTAATTCCCACTAACCCCACTGATCTTACCCATCACTCTGACATTATGTGCAGCTGCAGCTGCTGCTAATGCTTGTTGATCAGCAGAGCAGTCAGATGCGGCTCAGAGCAAAGGCAGCACAAAACTGCTTCATCTTTAACTCAGAGATGAAACTGATTCCACCAGCAGGCTGTCCAGGAGATCACCAAAGCCACAACACTCAACACTCAACAGGGGGATGGGTCCCTGCAGTGGTACAGCCAGGACTGGAACTTGGGCCACCATCTAAAGCCTCCCAGTCAAGGGATCCCCTGAATTACCGTTCTGTGGCTGGGGAAAGGGCAACAGAAATAAGCACCATTGCATTTCTGTAGTCATGAGGATGCTGCAATGTAAGTGTGTTAAAATGCAAGTCTGCACATGCTCAGAGTATTTTTCAAAATCAGGGTTAGCAAACAGGTTTGTGTTTGTTTGTTTGTTTGTTTATTGTATTTGTAAGCTACCACATAGCCTGGGGGCTCTTTGGGCAGCTCATACGAAACAGGAACAACAACATAGCCATAAAAATCATTAGATTAAAACTATAACACATGAAGCAATATCAAATTCCAATTAATAAATGAATTGAAAACAAATGAACCAGTAATAAAACCAAGCAGCAATAACAATAAGTTATTATTCTAACGTATCAGAAATGTAGAAGTGATTGTTGTAAAGCACGGATGGTGGTGCAGTGGGGTGGTGAAGATCAGAGAGAGAAAAGCAGTTGTACACTTCACTGCGGAAGCCAAATTTCATGGCTTTCTAACCCCATCCCTCTCCATAAGAGCATTAGATCCTGAGTCTAAAATTGCCTAGCTGCACCACTGGAGGTGGCCTACAACTCCCATGAGCCTTCACCATTGGCTATGCCGCCTACGGCTGATGGGAGTCAAGCCAAGGGTTGCTTTCGCTCACGCTGTTTGAAGGGCTGCCAGGAGCCTGCCTTCTATTTGAAAGACTGTCCTCTTCAACTCCAGTCCGAAAAGAGCAAAACACCAGAGTGGTTGCTCGTCACCCGCTCACAGCCTTCCATTCTGTGACAGGATCTGCTGCATTTCTGTTTAAATTATAGTAATTATTTCTAGATTGACATCTATGCACAGAAGCAAGCACATGCAAATTAGATGCAAATGTGTGCCCTCTTCTCTCTCTCTTTGGGCGATTCACAAGTGGCCGTCCTACCAGCCACACAGTTAGACCTCTTCTAAAAACTGAACAATTATTTTATTAAAACTCTCTGGAAAGCTCCTGGGTAGAAAAATGCAGAGTGCTGAAATAAGGCCAAATTATCTAGGGCTGCCTCTGTTCGCCGGTCCCTGTGGGCCTGGAAGTACATAAACCCGCGAGGCGGCCATGCAAGTCGAATCGCTCATGTGAGCTCCTGGAGTGCTGCGGAAGTGGCATTGCTCCTGCCAGTTCGTTCCTTCAAGTGGCCTGTCACATGCCAAGGCCTTCTGGGCTTGGCTCTTAAAGGGCCAGTCCACAGCAGAAATTACCTATTAAAAATGGAATTGCATCCAAACCGGTAAAACAGAAACTGGACAAATGCTAGCTACTTAAACAGATCTCTGATGAGGGAGCCAAAACCAGTCATGAGCTAATTTGCTATAGCGATGGTTTTGTTTTTGTTTTTTTCTTTTGCTGGCCAGGATTAAAACAATAATAACAAAACCAAAAGTCTCTCAGAAGAATCACTGGCACTGGAAGATAAAGAAGGACAGAAAGTTTTCAGAAAAACTATAAGGGGCAGCATTTCAAAACCCAACAGGAGGAAAGAGGAGGGAGAGGAGGGAAAAGGTGTTACTGGGGCACGGAAAGATTTAGCCCTCAGGGGTGGAGATTCGCAGTAGTGCAGGTGCATTAGACACATGGGAAGCTTTAGTTGTGATAGGCACGTCGACCGCACAGAAGGTTGCCTGCTGGGGGTGAAGGCTGTGGATAGCATCTCCATAGCTTTGTAGACAGTTGGGCTGGAGAGGAGGCGTGGTCCTAGCTGGTCTCTTTCCTTATCACGGAAAAGTATGCTGGACTTGCTCAGCCATTGGCCTGGTCTTCTACAATTCTAATAGGAAAAACAGCTTTAACGGATTAAGCAGAAGGTGCACATTGTAATGAGTGAAGGCAATGGGACTACAAGGAACTTTTTTCTTTTCTTTTTTGAGACTGTGTTGTGTCTGGTTTGTTACTGCAGCGGTGGAAAAGAGGAAGCAGTTAAAGATAGCCTTTCTGTAATACTGTCAAGTCGCTTTTAGTAAAAATTCTACACAGCTTTACACTTCTTTCTAATATCTCAGAGTCATCTTTATTGATGTTTTGGTAGCATGCAAATGCATTTAATTGTCAGTAATGAATCAGTTAAAAGGCAGGTGATTAATCAACTGAAATGCTATACTAAGTAAACAGCCTTCAGTGCACTAAAATATTAGGGCAAAGTATTCATCTGCTTGGACAGATAATTTCTCATGTAGTCTTTTCTTCTCTTTTCTTTTTTTAAGAGGAGACAAGAAAGCCATTGCCTGTGGCGCCATTCACCAAAGTTTTAAAAAATCTGTTTTTCTTGAAGGAACATCCACTTCCTTTCTCCTGTTCATTAATTCACAGCCTCAGCATTTGGTGTACATCCCAACAAAGGCCATCACACTCCCTCATTGCCTTTTAAAAGTGATGGTAATATTTCAGGAAAGAGTCTCAGCAAGAAAGTTCTCCCAGTGTCCATAACAAAGGAGCAAATGAGCAGCTGTATCTCTGTTTCCATCCAGAGAGAAAGTAGGGCATGGCTCTGTCTAGCTCTGTTCTGTCTGTCATCTCCGGCTGCACCTCTCCCGAGTTCCAGAGAGACGTCTTTCTCACCCCTGCCTGGAATTGCTGGGATTGCACCTGAGAGCTTTTGCATATAGAATGGGAGGCTGGGAGCTCTCCCCTGGAGTTACAGCTGTTCACCAAAGGGCATAGAGGGCACATATGCTAACTGTGAAGGACAGGCTTTGAACAAACATTTCTGTCCAGCAGACAACTGCTTCTGGAGCAGGGCAACTCCATGTTCTGGGAGCCCTGGGACAAGGGCCCCCTTGAGCCTTCGCTGTTGCATCTCCTCCTCCTTGTCATCATCACTGACAGGCAGAGAGGCAGTGAGTGAGCATCTGGATCTGAGCAAGAGCATGTGAAGAAGTGGTTGCCACAGTGAGGAGGACACGGATGAGAAAGGGGAGGAGCAGCAACCCAGGAGGTCTTGTCAAGGGGCTTTGATGTGGTCTCGGCCCTGGCAGATGCCCAGACAGGCCTTTCCTTGACATCCACCCCATTCAGGAGGCACATGTATACTCAACTCGCACATAGCAAAGCATCTCCCTTTTGTCCCATTGTGGAAGTGGGATGACACAAAACTATCCTATAACAAATTGTGTGACCATCTTCTCCTCAGAGGCACCATTTCAGGATGGAGAACGGGTGGGCTGGGGTACCACAATATTCTGGAAAATATCTGAAGCTTGTTCTTAGATATATCAAAGATCAACTGCTGTAAGTTGAGTATCTGAAGATTATCTCACTTTTCATATCCCATCATAACAATATATGGCCAAGCCATTCACTCACTTCTTTGAAAAAAGCAAAGTGTTGTACTTACAACACAAATATCTGGTGCAAAAGTACACTCACCAGTTTAGAATCATGGAGACTCAGGTTCAAATCCCCATCCAGCCACAAAGCTTGTTGGGGAACCTTGGGTCACGCCTCTCCCTCCCCCCCTCACTCTCACTCTTACGCTAAACTACCACACAGGGTTGTGGTAAGAGCAAAATGAGAAAGGAAGGCATCATGTTCCCTATTCTGAACTGCTCAGAGAAGGAGAAGGCTGCAGCACAGCATTAAACAAATCTTAAATTCCAAAAAATCATCACACAAAATCGGAATGACAGGCAGCAATTGTTCTTGTGACCACAACTTCCACACTGCATTGCCTTTAAAGCACAGCCAAAAATCCCCAGCTGGAACAAGGAGTCAGTGAGGAGAGAAAACACTGGCATCTGTCTTGGCATCTGTCTGTACCCGGAGCAAGCAGCTGTGTCTGGACCTCAGCCAAATATCAGGGCAGGGATTTTCCCCAGACCTCTTCTCCAGGAAATTCTGCCTCTCCACACTTGGGCATACGGGCTTGCAACATCTCAGATCTTCCCTCCTCACCCTCCCTTTCCTGCCTCTCCTCTGAGGCTGTTAAATGTCCAGGAGTAGCCAAGGACTTCCCCATTCTTTTCCAAGCACAAGGGAGCTTCGCTGCTTTCTCCCTGAAGCTGCAGCCCCACTCAGCAACCAAGGAGGAAAGGGAAAGAAGCGAACACACACCGAAGGCTGGCTGTGCGAGGTACGTGTCGGTTTAAAACAGAGCCATCAAACATGTTTCTCCCAGGCCTGTGTCTGCCTGCAAGAGTCCTCTGCTTGGACTTCAGATTTGAATGTGAACTTCCAGACATAGAAACTTTTTCAGAGTCACTTCTGCTGCACATCAAAATGTGCAGAGGTTCATAAAAGCTTATGCCTGCTTTTCCTCCTGTGGTACAACTACACAATGAGGTGTGTGGTGGGGGTCCGTGTTTGTGGTGCTACTGCAGAAAGAAATAGCTAATAGCAAGAGATATTAAGGACCAGGGTGGAAGTGACACATGGATACAAAAACGATAAAGAGTGCTCTGGCACTTTAAATACAAACACCTTTGCTCCAGAATACATTTTTTTTGATCAGAGGCCAAGTCATTGGAAAGTTTGGTTACCTGGATGGCTCTTTTGAAGCCTGGAGCAGGAACTGACTTCAGGTCAGCTTAATTTTATGTATGTTTACTCAGGTTAGCCTCTTTGTGTTGAACTGAGCATAGTCTCAAGTAATACTGTACAGGACTGAGCTGCAACCTAAATCAGGATATCAAAGAAGCAGCCCAGAGATTTTTTCTCTCTTTCCTAAGACAATGTGGCCATTGAGGTGGAGTAAAAGGTAAGAATTACTTTCTACCATGCAGGTAGTGTGATGACAATATGCTCATGTGAACTTTTGATGTTCTTTAAATGAACTGCTAAGTGCTCATCTGTCGGCATAATGTTGTAAGATGCATTATCTTCTATTCTATGCATTATGGCTATTGTATTCCTGGCTGGACCCAGCCTTGGGTAACTGCAGGTTGTGCCCTCTGAAATGAGTGGAACTTACCTCCCCAAATCATATGATCCTGTCCCCCACCAAAAGGGCGCACAACCAATTCGATAGCCTTAGAGGTTTCCTCACACAGATCCTGACTGTGCTGGGGAAAGCAGGCCAAATGGTTTGGCCCATCATTAGAAACGAGGTCAGCATGGCGGAGGTTTAAACTTTGGCTATAGTCCGCCAAAGCTTAGGCCAGAACCAATGGCAAATTATTAAGATGCTACAAGAATCTTGGTTGGTTTTGCTGCAATGGACTAATACCTGCATGGGACACTGTTGCACAGCTGGGCAGCACTGACTGTCATTTTCTCCTGCCTCAAATGCCTCCTTTTGATGCCAGCTTGGAAGGATGAGGTTGTGGAGCCCCTGTCTCTACAAGCCACCTGGCAGTGGGATCCAACACCATCGCCTGCCTTAAACCCAGTCACATCAATTGATTTACAGAAAGAAAGAGATCAAAGAGAAGGGAGGGTATCAAATGGAAGATACCAAAACAGCAGTTCTTTATAAATGTACATAGAAAGTTTCTATCCCTGAACCTGCAAACATCTCAGTGTTTCAGTTCAGTTGTATTGTATTAGTAATACAGATGCCATTACTGAAAGCAGGCTGTCTCTGCTCTGCTATTGGAAAAACTTTGCAAACCTGCAGTCTTTCAAATACATGCACATACACAAGTACATTTTTCAGACTGGCATAACTGCATTTGTTTTCAATTGTGAAAAGTATTTTAAAGTAGAAATTGTATTGTTAATGTTAAAGGGCGGGGGGGGGGGGAGAGAGAGAGAGAGATTACCTTTCCAGGTTCCTCATTGACAGGAGTGATTTAAAAGAGTTTAATGATAATAAGAAAGCAAGCACTCCAACTGCATACTAAAATATTTGCATGCAATTGCAAGCAATAGCTAGCGCCAACTCTTGTGCTAGAAAAACACAATGCATCCCATATCATGAACATTCCTGAAAACTACTTTGTCATGCTTAAGTGGATTTTTAAGATTCAAGTTCTTTGAAAAATACATGGTGTACTCATCTCATTAGAACACTCAAATAATCAGACATTTTCATAAAGTTAGACAGGGGTTTTTATATACAAGGCTTTAACAGAGTATCTCTTGGGCTATATATGCAAATTTCTGATAATTGTGAGAGGAAGGGAAAAAAGAAAGAAACATTTTAATAAAAATGAGTTTACAAATGTAGGTTTTATATGCATATAACTATTATTATTATTTATTTCATTTTTATACTGCCCATACCTGAATCTCTCTGAGCAGTTTACTACAAAATATAAAAACAATAAAATTTAATAGATAAAAACATTAACAAGAATTAAAATTAGTTTAAAATAGCATAAAATATTTTAAAAACATACAAATCCAATGAAAAACCCAGCCAAGAATAAGAGAGAGGAACCTGGCTAATCGTGTCAGGCCCCTGAATGATCTGGGAGGTCTTTGAAGGCTTCCCCCAACTCAACTGATGGCAACTTCATGTGAAAGGTATCTGATGTCTTGGCTTAACAACACTCAAGGGCTTTCTACAGAAGTGCACAGGCACAACACAAACCCACTTTGGGGGTCTAGTTGCAGGCTCCAGCTCTGCACAAACACACAGGTGTGCACACACCCATGTATGCAGACAGCCATAGTCCTTTCTTTCACTTCCTGCACATAAGTGTTCAGGCCCTGGCCCATGCAGGCACTATTTAATATGGCGTGAGCCAGTCACTTATACACAATTGTTTCAACTTTTCAGGACAAGCAGTGACTCTTCCTAAAAATATTTTTAAAGGAAAGAACTAATGAATGGGGAATAGCTTCAGTTTGCTGTTTTCTGCTATAATGTAGGAAGTTCAGCTGCAAGTTCAGCTTGCCACTTTTTGATGACATTTCCAGCCATTTCCAGCCACCTCCATAATTAAATTTACATGTGTGGCCAGGACATACCACAGGTGCCTATTTATAGGAGCAATACTCCCTTCAAATGCCCAAACATTCTGGATGAATAATGCTTTACCAGAAGTTAAGATTAGAGTGACCTGATCCCAAAGAGCACAGATCTAGGAAGAGGGATTGCCAGAAAATGCGGCAGCATCTCTCATTCCTGCAAACCATATCAGCATTCTCCGTTCTACAGAACTATTAGACATGTAGGAGTCTTGTCCTCTTTAGCAAGACAGACTATGTGACCTTCCTCCTACCTGATTGTTTAATGTATGAGTAACCATCCCACGGTTTTCCAGATTCATCAAAACAAACCACGTACACACTATTCCAAATGCTACAGGGCACCTGGGACTGGTTGGTGTTTTTACGATTCGCCTGCCACTTCTGCCTAGCAAAACAACCCATTGTTCAAGACTCAGAAATAATGGCAAAGTATGATTTAAACTGCGCAAACCCAACAATAACCCATGAGTTCTCTTTCTGTATTATCTGTGGCTAATTACCTCATTAACATGGCTGGGTTCGCACAACCCAGCAACCCAGAATTCAACAACCCATGAGCTGGGATTGTCTGTGAGCCCAGCCAGTGGCAAACTGTCATCCAGAGAAGGTTCACACATAGCCAGCGACCACTTGGTAGGTCAACATTTATCACATGTTATGAGAACCAGGGGCCACCACATCCATTGTTGTTCCATACAAGGGTGGAAGGTCTGCAGCCCAAATCTCACTAATGTGTGGATAATTCACAGAACTAGATCTTTTGTGAACTGACTCTGACTCTGGAAAGTGCTGGAAGGTGTAACAATGATGACTGTGAGCTTTTCCACAGGAGGGATTTATTGTGTGCTCATGATTCCTTATTCTCTGTGGGTATTTTTATGGGTTCTTTAGTTTAAATGAAGTCACAATCCTCCACTACTGTAATCTCCCACCTGTTCACTTAGAAGTCAACCCTTTGGAACTTGCCTGCTCCTTCTGGAAATACTTGTTACCAAAATGCTGGCTGTTTTCTCCTAGGGATGGGCCAATTGTTTGTTACCTATCCAGTTCTCTGCTACAGAGCCAAGTTCTTGACAGCTCTCATTGTTTCATTCTTCGGTGATTTGTCGAATTGTGGCAGAACATGTTTTTGATCAGGGAGCACAACTGGTCACATTATGCTGCTCTAAAGTCTTTGAAACCACTCATGCTTTTAGAAAAGCTGGACATGCAGTTCCAGAAGTGACAAAACAGGGAAATAACTGGGGTTGCTTTTTGTCTACAAAGCCCCAATAAGGTGCAGTAGAACTAGAAACTACTCAACAGACATACAATTTAAAAATAAAAACAAGCAAAGGGAGGCACTACCATAAAGTTTGAGGTGCATTTCAATATGCTGAAGAAGAAGAACATTCCTGACTTGTAACTGAGCTTTAAAATTCCTAGCACAAAAGAGAATTGGACTAACATCTGGCCAATTTGCTCTCAATATTGGTCAGAGTGAAAGAAGCAAATGAATAGGAACCGGCTTGCTCTCTGGCCTCTCATATCATGGCCCAGGTGAGGAGGACAGGCAGCGGATGCCATGGCTTCCTTGTTCAATGGCGCCTGGCTGGTTGAGCAACAGTGATGATAAGGTGGGTGAGGAGCAGGAGCAGCTGGTGGTCATGGCCATGGGAAGGAGGGAAGTGGCCCATTGACAGTGACTGGCTGGATTGCAGCTCTACTCAGAGGGAAGAGGATTTTGCCCAGGGTGGGGAGGATGAGATTGCAGATGACGTCGGGGTCCTTGTGGGCCCCGGCTCCACCACGCCACCATTAGTAGACATCAAGTGTGATGCAATGCCGTTATCAGGATGTTGCAGAGGGGACTGTACAGATTCTGCTAAATCTGTCCCATGATTGTTTACGGATTGCCCTGGCCCACGCACTGAATGTGTGCGTGGGGGGGGGGGTGCATTCCAATGTTGCACCAGATGTGCTAATGTATATTGGCACTGATTTGCTTTTGTATTGCTTTGCATTCATGCAAGTGTGCATTAGCTTTGCAGATTTCACAAGTCCCCCTAGATGCAAAATATGGATTACTTTACCTGATCCTAACACTGGATTAATCTGGCTGTGGAGTACATAGTGCTGTGTTGCAGTTAAAAATAAACTGCGGCAAGAAAACTGGGGTGGAAGAGAGGAAAAGAAAGCATGTGGTTAAGAGCTCAGCAATGTTCCACCCTCTGGTTG